GCTGGGCGCAGAGCTTCGCCTGTGGCCTCCCGTGAGGCTCTCAGCTGTCTACAAGCAGGCAATACAAAGGAAGGAAAGCAAGTGCAGGAACCCCTGTCCCCACCCCAAATGCTAAGATTCCCAAATTATTTTCTTTTTTAAAAGTCTTACAAATGGCAAGTGTTCAGCTAGCATGGAAGGTGTGGGAGGTAGCAGCCCAGGTGTCCTGAAAATCCCATGTCTTAAAAATCATTCCAAGGGAAACAGGACTCTTTGTTTTTCCTTTGTTCCTAGGTTCATCCGGAATTGTACGTTGACAAATCAAGGGGAGATAAACTGAAGATCAATCTAGACGTTATTTTTCCACATATGCCTTGTGCTTGTGAGTCAGACTTCTGCATATTGGCGATAATTTTCATACTTGCCGAGGGCCCAACAGGCTCTGTGTGCCTGGTGTTCCTACATGCTGCACTGCTGCTTGGGCCATGGGCAGGGAGAAATTGGTGATTGCATGTGGTTACGCAGTGATTCCAGCTGGGCCCGCTGGGCGCTTAAACCAGCACTTCTAGTTAGGCAGTATTATTTTTCTAGATTATAAAGGAGGCCAAGGTATAAACCCACTTACATTTCTGTGTGGTGGTGTACTTTGTCAGAGAGCACCATAATACTGAAAAACCTGGCACAGAGTCCGCTTGGGATTCAAGATTTGACTGTGTTGTTGTTGAAAAACTTTAGATTCTCCTTTGGAAGTTACTTGATGTGGCACAACTTTTCCATGATGTTTGTGCTTAAATTCTGACTCTAATGCAAATGCCAGGTGATAACCTTTCTCCAAAATTTTTAAAATCAGAATGAGCGTTAATAATCTGGTTACCTTTTAACTAAATTCGAAACAAAATTGGAGGATGAAGTGATGGAAAAATGTGCAAGCCTTACTGGGTATTACTGCTGTGCACATCACCTGCCTGTACACTAATCTTCCTTGCCTCTTGTTCTGTTGTAGTAATTCCTTTGGGTAATACATTGGGCTCTAAATGTAGTGAGCTTGACTTCCTTCTGACCACCTAAGATATTATTGGTCTTTGGTCTTCCTCACATTTAAAAGGCTGTGGGAAGGCCAGAGAGACTGGAAGTCTCTGCTGCTTTGTGCAGAGGAGCTGTCAGTCTTGGAATAGAGCATCATGGTGCTTCGATACCAGGCTGAGACCACAGACCTTCTCGATCTAATTGGTGAAAAGGGATCACAAGGCAATGTGCTGATGTTGAAGGGGGAAGGGTGAGGGGGTAGAGGTAGGAGGCAGCTTTCAACCAATTTTAAGCTTAGCTCCTGAAAATGCTTATGGGTTTTGAGGAGTTTGGTTTTGTTTTTTTGCCTTCAGGGTAGCGCTTTCTGTGGCAGTTGGAAACGGTCTTTCTCATACACCAAACCAAACCCTGTGTTTGGAAGGGTCAGTTAGGGTGCTGCAGCGTGTGTTTTATTCCCTATGCATGACTTGGCCCCAACCATGCACACTCTTCCAGTTTGGCACATTCTCATCCCCCTCGCTGAAAGATTCTGTATTTTCATTGGTTGAATGCTTCCTCAGCTTGCCACAGGCCATAACAAGTGTGTGTTTATAGACCACTTTCCTTGCTCGCTGGTTTCAGATCTGAGCATCGATGCCATGGACGTAGCAGGAGAGCAGCAGCTGGATGTAGAGCACAATCTGTTTAAACAACGTTTGGATAAAGCTGGCAATCGTGTGACTCCAGAGGCTGACAGACACGGTAAGATGCTATTCTGCCTTCCTTGGATGGATGCTTTCGTAGTCTTTCCATCACCGTGTACCTGTTTTGAGATTCACAGGAACAAGTGACAGCTGCAGAGCATGTAAACACCACAACTTCTGAAGAGTGTATAGCATGCAAATCTATTAAACTGGCAGATCAGACAGACTCCTCTTATATACTTGCCAATTCTGCAAGGCAAATCTTTGCCTAGTCCCTCTGAAATTACAACAAGGATGCCTGGATGCATTTCAGGAATAAAGCTGCTGAGTTAATGGTCTTTTACGACTAGAAATCAAGCAACTGTTCTGGCAAAACTTGTCTTTGGTTGTATCTTTAAACCACAGTGGGCTGACAAATCAGATGACCTGGTTAGAGAAAAGAGCCTCTCTTCAGGGAAGGCTGTGGTGACTCAACCCTTAAGCCTAAACTTGCATCTCCCTACCTTTACTTTGTGTGTGTTAATGCATACCTGCTAAACATGGGCTAGTTGATTTATCAGTCACAAGTTGTAGTAGGTGGTCCTTGGCTACCTAAACCTCTCCTCTACATTTTTTACATGTTACGACTTATCATTGTACTTTGATACAAACCAGAAACGATTCTGGCAAAGTGTTGCAATCTAACAGTAATACTCTCCTGACTTTTCCTTTCCAAAACATGAGCTGCTTATTACCTTTCCTGGGAGATAGTGTAGTTCTACGTATCAGCATGAACTAAATTTGTTGATTGGTGTCACTCAGATTTAACTTTTCTGTTCTTGAAGTTGAAAGGCTAAACTAAGCCAAGAGCTGAACGATTGGTAGGTAGGAGAGTTTCTCCCATTGTCACAGGGCTGTGGTGATAGTGTTCTTACTGTTGTGTCAGTTAGCAGCCTTTCTGTATTCAGAGGCTGTGGCCAGATTTAATATCTGGGGACAAAACTAATTCTCTGTTAACACATGTAGGCCTCCTGCCTTACTTGTATTGCCAGTCTCCATCAGGATTACACTGTCTGAACTGGTTCCTCCGACTCCTTATATGGAGGCATATATAATGGAGAGGAAGAGAAACTTGTACGGAGCAAACCGCCTCACCTAGAAGAGGCATTTTAAAAGAGATCAGATGCATTGCATGCAACAAGCAGTTTCTTCTGCTGTTTGCAAAGCACACGGCTAGTTCGATTTCCATCACCCGTGTTGCAAGTTAGATCAGAAGTATCCACCCACCTTCATTAAACTCCAGTTATCAGTTTCTATTAGTAACACTGATGTTCAGTCAGTTATTTAAAGGGCAACTATAGCAGTATTGACCTTAAATTTAGTAAAGCATACCCAAATTTTCTGAAGTAGTATCTGGAGGCTTTTCCTAATGTCGTGGTTTAACCCGGCTGGCAACTCACAGCACCACGCAGCCGCTCGCTCACTCCCCCCCCTCCCTCAGTGGGATGGGGGAGAGAATCGGAAAGAAAATAAAAGGTTAGAGCCGAGGGCTGAGATAAAGACAGTTTAATAAGAGAAAATAATAATAATAATAATAATAATAATAATGAGGATGATAACAGAATATACAGAATATACAAAACGAATGAGGCACAAGGCAATTGCTCACCCCCCACCGACCGATGCCCAGCCCGTCCCGAGCCGC